TTAGGTTTTAGGGCTTTGCAGGGCTTTGGGTTTAGAGTCTAGCGGAGAACCGTTTGGCTATTTTGTCGTGGCACGCACGAGTTCAAGCGCGTGTCAAGCCGTACCAACTCCATGAGGGTTCAGAAGAATTTGGTAACTTTGACTTTGACCACACTACGGTGCGTGAAACGCTTTCTCAGCCAGGCCTCACGGTTTCGGCATCAGGGATATGATTGGGTCAAGTATCCGGAGAGCCCGAGGTCCAGCACCTAGGACGGTGTATTCAGCTTCATTGATGCTACATGAATTCCGAGTTCGAGCCTCAGATGCGAAGCCTCGTGAACTGGGTTGCTTGAGGCCTTGGGCACCAACAAGCCTTCTTATGCAGATGCTGCGTGGAAGCGGCAGGCTATGTAGAAAGGGGTCAATTGATGTGACCAAGTAGCCTGCAGCACAAACTTAACAGACTTTCTGCCTGGCACTGAAAACCGTCTTGGCCTCTTCTGTCACGGATCGACTACAACTACAACTAAACAGCGACGTAATGAGTATGCGTTGATGCCGGCGGATCTCCGAGCAAACCCGTGCTTCAAAGCCCATGCCTACCAGCAGAGCGGGACATGTCAATAATGGAGGGGGCGTGCCGAAGCCCTGTTCAGCTTGCGACGGTCAGAACTGCGGCATCAGGAATCAATAATCTCGGAGGCAGCGGCAACCCAGCCTTGCTTCGGCAGTGAAAACAAGGCGCTGCGGTATTGCTGTCGTTTCAGGCCGATGCAGCCTGGCACCCAAAATAACAGCAGCAGCACTTGACATGGCACGGGCCGCAGCATCACATCCGTGGGAACGAGAGGTCTGTGACAAATAAATCTCAATGTGACCAGCCAAAACGCGTTCCGAGTTGCTGGCCATGAACACGTTTACAGTCCGGAAACCGTTCGGGAAATCTTCCCAACCGTCTGAAACTCTCTTACAAGCAAAGCTGTTGCCGCTAAGCGCGCGAGAACATCCACGCACCCACAGCCCCAATAACACCCACACGGAGGGGCGAGGTGTAAAGACCTCCTTGTATGCAGGTGCAGCTTCGTGTTCTTCACCAAGCAGGTACGGTCACATGGCCTTCCTTCACTGGAGCTGTAGTTCTGGCTCAGGAGAATGGAGGTATCGAAGTGCAGATTGCACCAAAGGCAAGTGAAGGCCCACTGCTGGGAAGCGGTCACTTGCAGAACAAAAAAGTATGCGGAGTGTGCACGCCACTTTTGCCGCATGAACTAGAACTCAAGCCTGCCGCTGGCAAAGCAGATGGCATGTGGGGACTTGGGCAGACGGCGTTCTGAACTGCTCCGCAAAAGCCGCCAAGCCTTGTGCAATCTCTGACCATCCCTCAGGATTCGGACTTTAGGGTCTAGGGTTTAGGGTACCTCCTTCGGAGCACGACTCTAAATTGTACACTCCCACACGCTAGGCTTTCAACACTGGTGGTACAGAATGTGCGGGGACAGGGTGCGCAGAGTTCCGTGCTTTCAGCCCTGCTAAGCGGCTTCACAGGGGAAGAGAAAAATGCTCCAGGACAACCCCATCGCTTCTTTATGTCTAGTTCACTTTGGATCTTGGACACTAAGCGACTGGGGCATCTGCACACGGAGTCAACGGTTTGGCTGCTCACGCAACATGCGAGGCAGTTGCTCTAAAAGACGAAATCTGCACACTCCGGGCAACCGCGCGCAGAGAGAGCCGGCTTGCCAAAATCTGACGAGCGAGCTGGCTTGGCGGAGATGTATTTGTGGCCATTGCGCTTGGTTGCTGGACAAGACTCGTCTCAGAGCGTTGGTGGTAATAACAACTTGGGTCTTGGGCTCTTGTGCTGAGTTTAAGCTGCTTGAATTGCTGTGTGCTACTACGCAGAAACTTCTTGAGCTATTAGACTTGCTTCAGCGATGGAAAGAAAATCATGCAAGCAACAACGTTGGTTCGCGGCTTGTGTGCCAAAAAACAGCACAGGACTGCAGGCTGGCCCTTGCACAAGCTCTCACGCTCAGACTGCCCAAGATAAGGGGGTCTGACACCAATCCAACAAATGATCTGTGCCTCATTCGCTTCACATGTTTTGGGACTTGCGGTATGGGCACGGGCACTGTTCAAACGTTCACAGAGGCAGTGTTGAATGCGGCATGTTTACAAGCTCGCTGAAGTTCGTTTGTGGTTTGTGAACCGTTTGGTCGGCACTAGCTCGTGATGTACTAACGTGCTAAATAAAGTCCTAAGCTCAACCATGCTTGCCTTCACGACTTCCACGAGAATCATCTTTGTAGATGCTACAACCGAGCAGATGGAACCAGCTTTTTTCTGTTTGGTACCTACACAGAAAAACAAGGGCAAGTTTTTCAAGCCCGGAAGCCACGATTCAACTTCAATGCAATTCGAAAGTTGACTAGTTGACATGCAAGCTTCTCCATTGGACGCGGGCCATAGGCTCACAAAGACACGAGGGTTCTGGTGCCCTGTTAAAAAACGGGCTTTCCTAAGGGCTTCCTACTTTCACAACTGCTGCTCACTTTTCCTGTCACCGCACTGGAGTTTTGGGGTGCTCGAGCCTAAGCGTCGACGTCGCTTCCTGGCCCACTCTCAACATTTTCCTGTACAACAAACTGTGTGTTCCTACTAAGCAGTAATGTTTAACACCCCACCTTCGAAGTTAGTTCAAGTTAGTTTCCCGACTCAACTGGTTTTGACACATGTTCCTGAATACATGCTGTTTGAAACTATTTCCTCGTCGCAGACATTCCTGTCCACTCACAAATCTCTCCAAGTTTGCTGGTACTGTGCAAAAGGTTTCTTTACAGTTACACAACAAAACTGGTCGTACTTGGATCATCATCCTTGGCACGCAAAAACAAGTTCCTAGTGACGGTTCACCATCCTGCACAAACTCGTTCCTGATAAAAGGGCTGCCGACTCAGCTCCTTTGAGCTTCTTGGTCTCACTCTTGCTGCCTTTTGCCTTTTGGTCCTGTGCTTCGTTTGCTTTGCTTCGCTTTGCTTCCTTTGGCTTTGTCTTTGATCTCTCTTTGTTTCCTGATCCTTTCGCTTCTTTCCTCACTTAAAGCTTGGGTCGTCACTGCTTCCTGCACCTCCTGAACTTTGGTCTTTTCCTGTTCCTTTTCCTTCGTTTTCCTTCTCTCCTTGGCCATTCTTCTTTTCTTTGTTGCCTTTGGCTTCCTGAACTTTCTTCTCATGATCCTCGCAAACTTTTCCTCTTTTGCTGTCTCTTTCCTGCTTCACCCATCGTTTCTTTGAGAGGTCGTAGTAGTACCAAAAGCACGTGTCCTGGTTCCACTTCCACTGAAACCATTCCTTGCCGAACGGGTAGATCGCATAAAGCTTCCTGTCCGTGTCGTCGGTGAGTTCTGGGTCTCCTTTACTTGGTGGTCCTTTCTTGTGGAATTCCTCATCTTCGTCTTCCTTTCCTTCTCCTTTTGTCGACCCTGCCCGCTTTCTTTGGTGCTTGCCAGCTTTTCCTGCAACTGCCTGATCCTTTCTCTGTCCTATTGTTTGCTTTTCCTCGATCAGTGTCTCCAGCATTCTCTCCATTTTGCTCAACCTTTCCTTGTCCTCTCTTGCTGCTGCTGCTGCTGCTGCTGCTGGCTCCTCTTCTCTGTCTTCCTCTGCTTTCTTTGCTGCTTCGATCTTCCTTCTCCTTTCTTCTTTTTTCCTTTCCTCTTTTGCTGCTGTTTCGGCTGCTGCATCTGCTGTTGCTTTCTTCCTTTTGTTCTCCTCTGCCTTCTTGGCGGCTGCTGCTTTCTCCTCCTCTGCATCTGCCGCTTGCCTTTTCTCGTTTTCCTCTGCTGCTTCCTCTTCTTCCTGCTTCCCCTTGTCCTTTTCTCTCTTTTGCCTTCTCTTCTTCCTTCTTTCCCATGCGCTCCCAGTACCTCCTGTCCTCTTCGTCCTTGGGAGTAACGTTGATCTTCTGTTCCTTTGGCTTTTCCTTCTGGTCCTTCTTTCCTTTGTTCTCTCCGTTTCCTTTCTCGCGCTGCAGGAGTAGTCCCAGTCGCAAAACTCGCGCCTGTTTCCAGATCTTGCCTCCTTCCGAGTAGTACTTGTACTCCTGGCTGGTGTCCGTCGGGCACACGAAGTCCTGTTCCTTTTCACGACGTTCCTTGGCGTTCCTGGCGTTCTCCTCATTCACCTCTTTGATCCCTTTCCTGATGCTTTCCTCATCAGCTTCTTTTCCTTTTCTTAAGCTTGCCTCTTCTCCTCTGCACTCCTCAGTTCGGTTTATGTATTCGCAGCTGCCACATGTTTTATGCGAAAGATAACAAATGGCCTATATTTCATTTAACCCAAATGTACTTAAAGATATAAGTGGAATTGATGCAGTCAATCACGCATCACTTCCTTTTTCACTGCCGGGAATGCGATCCATGTCCGATTCTGTAGATCGACTCAGTCAATCAAGAATGTAAATGGATCGGCATGCCCGCACCTATGCTGAAGCTCAGCTCAGCACATTTGGTAACGGGACATGCTATGAGCATGGTCCAATGCAATGCGAAGCAACACAAGTGTAGACAAGAGATTATCGGAAATGCATGCGGAAGACAAGCAGAATACCCTCTAAGAGAGCATACCTGGCCAATTGAAGCACTTGACATAGACATAACAGAATGCAGGGCCAGGTGTTACAATGTAGTGTAATGTGGTTGGTCGGTACCCATCCTTCGCTCTAGAGTGTCCCCATACGGGACACTCTGAAGATCTGAAGTGAGAAATATGTACATTCCATCACAATGCGGCCATACCTAACCGCCCGCAAGAGACTTTCAAGGTCAATCTGCAAATTCATTGCGTGGGCCGGAAATGTGTGTAGTGTCCAGCTCCAGCCCAGAAAAGCAACTGAAGAGAGCTAGCCGTTGTGCAAAAATGCGCAGTGGATAAGAAGACGTAAAAACTTGCTGCTAACACTCTTGGCGCCTGTGTTGTCTGACCAACTATGAATTCTAACACACATCCGCCCACCTGGTGTTACTGCAGAAACGCAATGAAGCAAAGCAATCTAAGCGAGGCACTCATGGCAGGAAATGTTGTCGGAAGCATTTGCACTAAGCTCAATGCTCGCAAAGGAGAACTCGGATACCTCGCAAGCTTCACTAAACCAGATCGTGACTGACGAAAGCTTGACAAAGCCACCGATGGCAAAGCGAGCGCCAGCACCCACGGCGTAGGCTGCAGCCACAAGTGTCACTCGAGAGGTGAATTGCAACGGTCTGAGCAAAGCAGGAAGTTTGCACCAGCGCTGCCAGAAATTCAAAAAAAGCAACGCAATTGTTGGAAAGCTTGCATTTGATCTGAGAAGAGTCTGCAACGCGCAGCCAAAGCCTCTTTGACGAGAGCACGACCTTGGCCATAGGTAGGCGTCGCACCTCGAGGAGCTACCTGGGAATGGTTGTGCCTGTAGGAGCGCCGACGAAAAGTAATTGATCGTTGAGACAGTCATGCACTTGAACAAAGAAGCGGGTCCATGCTGTGATTTGTTGCGGGTGGACAGTGGAGATCTTTGTAGAGAACCTTCTTCCAAGAGCGAAGCACCGGAAAGCATGCAAAAACCATTGGATTTTGTTCCGCCGTTTGAACTAAAACCAAAAGAATTGTCGAGCCTGGAGGGTCGGATCGGGGGAAAACTGGACAAAAGGCTAACGTTGGTTCATCGAGTTTCTTTTTTTTTTAAACGGCTTTGATTTGGTCTTGAGTGGCAGTGTCTTTCACTTTTGCACAAGACAAATTTTATTGTCCAACGCCGTCCTGCTTGCTTAAAGCATACTTCGTGGCGAAGTGTCTTTGTGCAAGCTTCTGCAACTGGAGATTGTGATCTCCAGTCAGCCGGTGGCCGTATAAGTGCAGTTCGCATCTCCATTATACTTGCTTGTAGGCTGTTACAGATCGAATCCGAAGAGATCCAACATTTGTCGCAAAATGAAAGTCATCCGAGTGTGCGTTTGTCATGTCATACAAATGCTTGCCACAGCTTGCCGTTTTCCTTGTGACGCGAGCTTGAACCTCGAACCTGAAAGTCTTTGCCACTCCAGAGCCGAAACCCAAACGGTATTCCAGTCACTTTGTGAAGGGCACGTTTGTGCACATCATTCGCTGAGCTGAGCAGTTTTGACGATGTGAAAATGCAGTTTGTCTCGCTTGTTTTGCGGAACAGAACCATCCAATCTAAACCACTTATGGACTGACATCTAGCACTTCTTCCAGCTCAACGGCACATCACCAAAGCAACTACAAAAGCCAAGCAGCCATGGCGTGAATGGTCCACTCGTTCCGAGTTAGAAAAGCACGTAAAAACTCGAAATATGCTGCACTTGGTAAGAACGTAGAAAGTTTCAAATTAACTGAAACGTGTTTTAAAACAAGCAGCAACTAGCCACAGTTCGGAGTTTTAATTGCATTGAAGGAATGCTTGCTCCGTTCACAGAAGCGATTTCGTGTGGCTTCTTCTTTTTTTCTTTGGTAACTGCGGAAAGGCTAAGACTCAGCAAGCAAATGGCTGCCGTCGAATGCAAAGAACAACAAAAGTCCGTGCAAAAATTAGCAAATGCCACAGCAAAAAAAGCAAAAGTTTGGAGCAGCAAATGCAAAAGCCAGCAAATGTGCAGCCAATAAACGCTGGCTCCGGATCCAGGTCTTCGAAAACCGCAGTTTTCTGCTGCCGCGCGGAGAGTGCCTCCTAAGTACTGGACTCTACTCTACAAGCGTATTTCGGGTTTTACGTGCTTTATACATTGCTCCTTTCAGAGTGAAGCTGTTCTGTCTGTCATTATCGCAAAAAGCATCTCCACGTTTATAACAAGAAGAAACACACGAAAGAAAGCCGAAAGAACAAAAGTAAAACCTTTCAAGCTTCCAACGTGTGCACTCGCTGTTTCCACATGTGGGGAGCCAAGAAACTGGATTGAACACCCATCTTGTGCCGCATTTCTTTATCTGGTGTCGTTGGCAGGCCTCTGCCGCCTGCGGAGATCGCTGCAATGGCGCAGAAAATGACCGTGGCAGACATTGCCAAAGTCTTCCAGGCCAGGTTCTTCGTTTTTGGCTTTGGTTAGTCACAGTTA